GGACAGGTGTTCCCTGTGGTCGTCGTGGGACAGGTGTTCCCTGTGGTTGTCGTGGGACAGGTGTTCACTGTGGTCATCGTGTTTCCTTCTTGCCTTTTCTTTTGAGCAGTGAATCTGAGAGCTTTGTATTAAAGGACAAATAAAATTCTTTTTCTTTGATTCTTTTTTTATTCCCAAACTAACTTATCCTAACCACACATGAAAATTTTGAATTGATGCAAAACAGTTTAAAAATTGATTGACATTTCAGTGTGGAATTATAGCTTACACTATGATTGATTCATTTAGTCAGTATCTGTGGTGTGCCAGGTGCTAGACCGGGTTGCTGAGTGTCATGTGAACTGGTGGCTGTGCTGATGAGGGAAATGCAGTCTGTTCTCTGAGCTCACTGAGAGGGACCGATCTCAGACAGCCAGTGTGGGGTGATGGTCCCCTAGGACAGGTGGATGGTAGAGGGGGGTAGCAGTGGGCCGTCCAGTGCATTAGGATGCTCAGGGAAGGTACTTTCTAGAGTGAGAAATACTCAGACATCGGCCCTCTGTAAGAGGTGCTCCACGGCTGAAGTTCTGAATGTCCAGGCTCTGACAGGCAGACTGTGAACAGTGAAGATTCTGTTGTGGGAGGCAGCAGACCTTTGTGTAAAGTGCCTACTCAAAATCCTGTTCCTGGTATTTACTCGCTGTATTGCCTTGGGCAGTTTTCCTGTGCTTGTGTTACTGAATGCCAAACCACTCAACAACCCAGCTGGGCATGGTGGCAGATACCTGTAATCCCAGCTCTTAAGAGCCTGAGGCAGGAGGATTGCAAGTTGAAAGGCATCATGGGTTACACAGTGAGCCCCTACCTCAGAAACTGCCAGTTATTTTCTTATCTCAGTGACTCTGTTCCTTTGCTGGTCTCCATTGGTTGTTTACTTTCCTCTGACCTGCGGTGGGAAGACTGCAGTGACGTGGGCCCCACAGCGCCAGCCTTCCGAGGTGTCACTCTCATTCTCACTGGTGCTGCTGGCTGTCCACTCAGAGTTGATGCTGGCTAGGGGTGCAGGAATGGGTCCATTTTCTCTGATAAAAAAGCCCAGCAATGGTGGCACACGCCTTTAATCTCAGAACTCAGGAGGCAGGCAGATCTCTGTGAGTTTGAGGCCAGCCTGGTCTACAGGACAACCAGGGCTGTTACATAGAGGAACTCTATCTTGAAAAACAAACAAACAAGCAAACAAACAAATTTAAAAAAATGCCAGGCAGCGGTGGTGCATACAATCTCAGCACTTGGGAGACAGAGACAGGTGGATCTCTGTGATCTCTGTGAGTTTTAGACCAGCGTGGTCGACAGAGCTACTTCTACAATGGCCAAAGCTACACAAAGAGACCCTGTCTCAAAATAACAACAATTTTTTAAAAGGCAACAAAGAAATGCTATTGGAAATCTTGGAGTGTTGTGAAGAGCTACCACACGACACTGGGAAATTGGGGTTCTCTTTTGGGATTCTTAGTCTTATAAAAGAATTTTTAAGACTGGACTCAAAGGGAAACTCAAGGACATAGTATTTGAGTTAAAAAACCCACGATGGGGCAGGCTAGCTGTACATCTTGAAGCTGCCCGTAGTGTGGGGGTCCCTGCAAACTCTACTCTCAGTAGAGGAACAATGTGCATGAGAATCATGAGGGAACCCCAGTTCAGCATGGCTAGTTAGCCAGGGTGTTCAGACTTTTGGAGTCTGACCCTGAGCAAGTTTTTCTTTCTCTTATTTAAACACAGTACAACTTGGGAGAAAAAACACCAAACCTTTCCTTGCAACAGTTATCTTAATAAAGTTTGGGCGTGACTACATCAGAAACTTCTTTGCAAAATACCCATGTCTTCTTCCTTAAGAATGGGTCCTGTTGACTAAGAAGCAAGGCTCAGGAGTCTAAGGACTCCACAGAACATCAAAGTTTAGCAGGTTAACACATCCATTCCCGTCTTCTCAATGGAAGACATCCCTTCTCTTAAGGAGAAAGCCACCTGTTTAACATCCTGATTTCTATATTGCTGTCTGTAAGCATGTAGACTCCAGTACCCTTTATATATAGGAGGAAAATGGAGAAGAGAAGGGGGAAAAGCTGGCATGAAGGTCAGTCATGTGACAACAGACAGCTACATGGCAGGGAGCCTTTGAGAATGAGTGAGGAAACAAACCCACAGTACCAGGGGCAGCGCAACGTGGCTCTGACAACATCAGAAAGAGATGGACTAGAAGTAGGAGTAGAGAGGTCTTTCCAGGTCAGAACTCTGCAGGGCAGTCAACTCCACAGATGCCATGGCCGCTCCTGGGGACTGCACCAGGTGAAGGGATCTCACAGTGAACCTTTCCTCCGAGGGTGGTCTCAGAACTAGGTTCTTTACCTGTTCAGCTGGGTTAGCTTTTGAGGGAGGAGACAAGGGCATGTCTCCACCTAGAGGTGAACTCGATTCTTTACTGGTGGTGGGTGCTTTCTTCCAATATGGAAAGAGTTGAGTGTGTACAATCAGTGGGGCTCCTGAGCAGGTGCAGGGCTGACGGTGCTCCTGACATCTGTGCTTCTCGTGTTTGTTCACGTGAGTCCTCATGTGTGTCTTCTCTGTGGCTAGGGATGGCACCTTGACCACAGGCTGCTGGCTGGAGGACTGGAGTGGGCTGTTTGTGGTACAGGAAACCTTAGAAGACCCGTGCTGGTGTCTTGTATTTCCCCTGTGACTGCAGGGAAGGCTGGGTCTGCCTGTTTATTTTGAGACAGGATCTCACTAAGTTGCCTGTGCTAGCCTTGAACTTATGATCCTCTGTCTCTTCCTTTTCCATAGCTGAACTTACAGCTTCTGACATAGCTTCACTATCAGGTCCTGTTTCCTGTCCACCTTTTCTGTATGTATGTCCTGATTCTGCCCATAGGAGATGCTGTGCTCTCCCCGATGGCTTGAACAAGCTGGCATATGGTCCCCCTTCTCTTTTCTTTCTCTTCTGCTCTGCTCCCCTCTCTTGCCATCCCTCTGTACTCCCCTCCACACCTCACTTCCCTTCCAATTTCAGAACTATTTATGGAAGACAGAGTGGCCATTTGGGGTAGATTCTCTGGTGTCTTCTTAAGTATGGGGAACTGGCAAGTCAGAGTAATGGATTCTGTCTAGAGCTCCACAGTGACATAGAGGGTGGAGTGTGGTGAGGGCTATTGGCTTTGGCCTGTCCCTGCTTCCAGCCCTCAGGGGACCCTGAGATGGAAAAGGCAGTGAAAACCTGATGCTGCCCGAGAATAGATGCTGCCATCCCTCTTACTGTCTACCCGGCTGGGCATAACACTGGGGGCTTTTGCTCCAGAAGAACCCAAGCATCTGTCTGTCCTGCTTCTCCAGTGATTGGACTTTGCCTGACTTTGTACTACACTGCTGCCTCATGACTGCCTAGACCACAGACCAGTGGGGAACAGCCATTTTCTGGGGCCAGTGAGAAGCAGATATAGATACTGTGCTGGTCACTTCATTATGCCTGCATGGAGGGCAAGCCAAAGAGAGGTCTAAGATATGTTTGTGTTTAGCAAGTACTCTGATTTGCCTTATAAAGTATCTTTGTTCCATCCTTATTTATGGCCAGAATGTGCTATGGAATCAGCATTCTGGCCAGGCCTGGTAGTACACAGCTACAATACAAACTATTTAGATACCAAGGCAGGAAGCTTCCTGATATGAGATTCCCCTCTGTATGCTGTGAATACCATTGGTTAATAAAGAAGCTGCTTTGGGCCTATTGCAGCACAGAATAGGGCCAGGCAGGAATTCCAAGCAGATAGAGGAGGAGAGAATAAGCAAAGTCAAATGTAAAATATGTAGCTGCCGAATGAGACAGATGCCCAGAACTTTACCGGTAAACCACGAACCTCGTGGTAAAATATAAAATAATAAGAAATAGGTTAATTTAAGATGTAAAAACTAGCTAGAAATATGCTAGAGTCATTGGCCAAGCAGTGTTGTATTTAATATAGTTTCTGTGTAGTTATTTTGGGTCTGGGCATCCAGGAATGAAAGAGCAGCCTCTGCCTACAGATTCCAAGTTCAAGGCATACCTGGTTCAGATAACTTAGTAAGACCTGTCTCAAAATACAAACTAGAGAAAGGGACAAGGGGTATAACTTAGTGATAAATATTGGGGTGTGGTATATGGTATACCCAGCACTAAAAAAAGAACAAGAGTGTTTTCTGATGTTGGTGTGAGCCCAGGGGAGATCTGGCATCACTTTGGACAGACAGCAGGACAGACAAACTTCAGATGTACATTGACCTTTACCCTCCATCATCATGGTGTAGTAGGTGCAGAGCCGGACCTGGTCACCAGCCTGGGTCCCCAAAGACCCCCTAGGTCATAGCCTTTTTTTTTTCCCCAAGCAGCCTCTGCAGGATTCAGGAAGACACAATAAATATCTCCTGGCTTCCTGATCCTGGTAATGCTACGGAGTTAGAAGAAAAGCCTCTAAGCTGGCAGGACTTAACAACCTTTAAGCAATTATATTCACTCTCTAGAATGTTCCCAGAAAGCCAGTATCTCTGAGGGGATACTTGCTGTCAGAAAAATGCCTAGTACCTCTTCCTCCTCTTCCTTGAGGAAGCACTTTGCTTTGTAGTGGCAGCTTGATGCCTGCCCAAGTCTTTTCCTTTCCTTGCCTCTGGTTTGCCTGTGGTGTTTGCTTTGAGGGACACACACATTCAGAGACTCTTCTGAGGTGGATTCTCTGGGGACACTGCCTTTAAGATGGTGGCTCTCGTGCACTGGTAAGGAGCTGCTGTCCTTAAAACCTCCAAGTCCCACCTCTAGTTAATCTTGAACTGTCCCTGGCCTCGGGAGCTGAGGAGAGATTGAGGGAGGAGCAATGCCTGTGAGCTGCCCCTCGTCACTGGAGCCCTGGACATGTCTGAACTCTGCATAGTGCCGCAGGGGAGAGAGGAAGGGCACAGAACCCTGCCTCTGTCCTTCCCACTTGTACCAGTGGCTCTAAGGGCAAAGTCTTTCCCAACTGACTCTGCAACTTGCTAAGCTGCAACAGACCCAGGAGAAGACGGAGAAAGAATATCTACTTTAATAATGATGATACTCAGATTGCTCTAGATTGCATGTCAGTTAAAACATCTTTGTTTCAGATTACTGCAGAAAAGTCCAAAGTGTTTAATTCAGATTCATCTGAATTTGCTGCCATATTCTAGTTGTAGTTTGTTGTCCCAACTGTAACGACACAGGCGCTGTTACACGTAGGGAGCGTATTGGCCATGTGCACTCCCCCACTGCTTTTGTGTGTACTATCAAATTTTTATCGAAAGTACACTTTGTGTGGTAGTTTGAGTGTAATTGGCCCCTGTAAGCTCACAAGGACTGGCACCGTTAGGAGGTGTGGCTTTATTGGAGTGGCATGGCCTTGTTAGAGGAGATATGTCACTATAGGGGTGGACTTTGAGATTTCCTATGTTCAGGATATCACCCAGTGTCTCAGACTATCTCCTGATGCCTTATGATCAAGATGTAGCCAGCACTGTGTCTGCCCGCATGCCACCATGCTCCCAGTCATGATGATAAAGGACTAAACCTCTGAAACTATAAGCTGCCACCTCATTTAAGGTTTTAATTAGTAGAACTTTATTTCAAAATGCATACATGGTTAGTGTGTTCACTCCAGGGCTGGAGATGTAGCTCAGTTAGTAGAGTGCTTGCTAAACATGCAGAAAGGCCCAGGTTCCAGTGCCCATACTACATAAATCAGGAGTGGTGCATGCCTGTAATCCCAGCACTGGGAAGATGGAAGCAGAGGATCAAAAGCTCAAGGGCTCAGCTATATAGAGAGCTCAAGGTCAGGCTGGGATACATGAGAACCTGTCTGAAATAAGAGAAAAAGAAATGGATACGATGATGAACAGCCAGTGGCCCAGGTTCCACCCACAGAGCATACCTACCATCAGTGCCTTGGCTTTCATACCTGCAGGGTTCTGATGTGCCAGGTAGGTCTCACCTCTCCATGTGGGGCCTAGTTGTGTTAGGCCTGCGTCTACACCAGGGTTTTTCTCATTTACAGATCTGTCTTGTAGATCTTTTCATACTGGAAAGACAGTCAACTCATTCTTCAGAAGCACCCACAGTTTTCAGAGCTATCAGAAGATAGCTCCTGTCATCCCGTGGAAAGATGGGTAATGAAAGCCGAGGCCCTCCCCTCAGTCTCACTCCCACCTGCTGTCAGTGACGGTGTCTGAGCCGCCTGTTGTGCACTATCCAGAATGGTGCTCCCTTGCTTTCGCTTTAACAGGCCTCCCTGTGTGGCCATGGCCCAATCTCTCTATTCTTCTGTAGTTAACATTGTTAATATAGTTGAATAGTTCGTACACATTTTAAGAAAACTTGAGATTTGGTTTTGGTTTATGCTGGGGTTGGAATCCAGGGCCTTGTCCATGCTGGCAAATGTTCTAACACTGAGTTCTGTCTGCTGCCTGAGGTATGATCTCTTACGGACATTTTGATGGGTGAATGGGTTGCTACTTCTAGGTCAATTTTTGGCAAAAAGGTTCCCTCTCAAAGGATGACTTTTTTAGGGATCTTGGTACCTACAGCCTCCTGCCTTCTGAATATGTTCTATCAACTCTTTCCAGCCACCCACAAGAAAGCGATGGTCATAGAAGCAGCAGTGTGACACCAAAGCCCTTGGATGGCTCCCTGTTGGGTTTGTAGGAATCTCTAGGCAACACTTTTACAGGGAAGCTGTGTGGCCAGGGCCCAGTTTAATTGCCTTGCTGAAGACACCACAAAGGCCTCAGCCTCCCTCTCCTTCCAGGCTGGCTCACTCTCCCTCCAGGCTGTTACGCATGGACTGAAAGGTACCCTCAGTTTGCTAGGCAGATTCTTCATGCGTCATCACGGAGAGCAATGTGCAGCTCTTACTTCTCCATCATACTGAACTATCACCATACTATCCCTGAGCTTGCAACCAGTGGCTATGACTTGGGGCACATTTTATCCTCAGAATAACCCTGGGAGTGTAAGTATTGTCACTGTTAACATGTTGGGGAGTTGAGGGCAACACATGTATTAGCTGCTTTGCTAGACCACGTCAGGGGAAAGGTGGCTTATTCAGGGTCATATTTGCAGGGGTTTTGAAGTCCACCATGGTGGGGGGAATGGCAGAGTACCTGAGAAGAGAAGCAGTAAGAAGGAATGCTGGCTGGCAGGCTTCCCCAAGCCCCGCCTTTCCGCTGGGCTCCCCAATGCAGGGATGGTGCCATTTCCATTGAGGGTGGGCCTTCTTCTCTGTGACTTTACCTGGGGAGACACGAACAAATGTCTGTTCTCCCCAGATGGGGGCAAAGCAATGATTCTACCTGTCTTGATGATCTAGTGAATTTATTAGGGTTACTTTCAGGGACATGGGTGCCTCAAAGGCAGCTGACCAAGAAGGCTACCTGGCATGGGTGGTAGCTCACAGGAGTCACATCCCTTGGAGCTCCCTGGGCGTTCAGCTGGTCAGAGGATCTATGTGCTTACATACAATTTGGACAGAGCCTGAAGATCTGATGTGATGCTTTCTGTATTTGCTTCCTGAGTTTTCTGACCACATTGACTGCCTTCAGACAAGTCCTCACAAACACACTGGTGTGCCTTACCAGTCTTCTAGATGATTCTGAATCTACTCATCACCTTGTATCTCGGAGAATTGCTTTGCTCACGGCTGTGGAGCTGGGAAGAAGGGAGGCACTAAGTTGGTACTAAGGCATTTAGGTCAGGACCCAGGCTACTGCCCACTCTTGCTCCTGCCTCTACAGCTGAATGGAACTAAATGGACATTGTTGACCATTTCCCCTTGCTTCCCCACACTCTTCTTTGTTTCCGCTGTTTTCCCTTTCTTTGTCTACATTCTTAAAATTCTAGACCACTTTAATCAGATGGTAAAAGGAAGTTCTCACCTTGGGGGTGGGATAACATGGTCCTCTATTTAGCATCTACCAGTATGGGGATCCCATAGTTAGAGCATAGTTATTGCAAGTCCTTGTGCCAGCCCTGATAATTGATCCCTATCTCAGGTCAGGGTTGGGGCTAAGGGTCCCTGGAGATCACATGCTGTTGGTACCTCCTGGCCATCTCACTTGGCTTTGTGGCATGTGGTTAGGACCCAAGCAGCATTGGTAGGGGCCATTGTGACACTGCTTGGTTCTGTCACCAGTCGTGTCTTCCCCTAGCTCTTTCCAGCCAGGAGCCTTCGTGTTCTTTCTGCCTGCAGTTTCACATACATTATGGGACAAAAGGACAGCCATTTTGAGGGAGTAGTGGCCTTTTGTGCTCACATAATAGGTGTGACATTTGTGATACTCCTCACAGTGACAATAGATATTTTTTTCATTGCACAGATGATATCTTGTATCTCCAATCCTAATTAGTCCTTTATGGCTCCAAAATTACATGCTTTTATATGCCTGTGATTATCTCAATAGGATTAGCAGTGCCTTTTCTGTAAAGATAATTGAGACCATGCATGGCAGCGTGTTTTTATGACTGCAGCATCATCCCCAGCCACCTCTCCATGAAATCTTACTGTTTTCCAGCAGCCACAGTAGTAGCATTTGGTGAATGTGCAAACTGCGGTAACCTGTGCATTCTTCTCTCTTCTTCCTTTTTCCCAACTGCAGGTGCCTGGAGATTTGAGCCAAACATCTGAAGACCAGAGTTTGTCAGATTTTGAAATGTAAGTTTATGCATGTGCTCTCGAGAGGCCCTCAGAGAGTGAACCCTGTTGCTGGCCTATGTCCTGAAGTCTACAAGGGGTGGCAGAAAGGTCCATGAGGTGCACACAGAACCCATTTGGTTATAGGCATCCAAATTTGCTGAGGTCCAAATTGTCTAACGTGCTTGCTTTTCCCCTGGGCATTCAAGATCGTTTCAGTTTTGACTTGACATTTAAAATTGGGAAGGTGTCACATAGAGTTTTAACTTGTCACTCCCGCTAGACCATGGCCAGCTAAGAAGGAGCTGAGGTTCCTTTTGCACAGGACCCACACTCTATTCTTCACCTTGCTACTGCCCCATGTTCCATGCTTTTGTCTGGCCCACTCATAATAGTCGCATTGCTCTGGTGTTGACTGGCTCAGAGTCTGTCTGAGGGCTCTGCTGCTAACCCCTGAGGGGGCAGTTGTTCTTCAGACTCTCTGTTTGGGGAATCCATAGTCCCCGTAGGCTCCCAAGGAGCACGGGGCCAGAGAGAGCCTCCTCCTTTTCATGTGGTTGTGGTCAGTGGATGAAGGTCCAGCCTCTCTATCTTTAGACCCAGGAATTCAAGACCAGCCAGACACACAGTGAGCCTTAGTCTCAGTAACAAAGATCCTGCCTCCCTATGAGAAAGGCCATTCAGAAAGGCTACTTTAGAGCATGGGGGAGGCAGGACACTGGAAAGAGCATTTTGTCTAGAGCTAGGAGACCTGTGTTGAAATCTTAGATGCTGGTCTTACAACATTCTGACCTCAGGTAAGCCACATCCCCTCACTGAGCCTAGTGTTCCCTTCACATGGGGTGAAAGTCCTTGAACCAGTTTTGCTGAGTATGTTAGCACCTGGTGTGGGACTGCGATCAGCACAGGGCATTGGGAGCCCCATCTGTCTTGGGGGCTGCCATGAGGTGGATGTGCTAGATAAGAAATCAAGGACGGGGAAAAATGATCTAAGTTAAAGATGAACTTGACATGCCAATGTATACACCCCAACCACAGGGCCTTAAAGCACGTGATATAAAAATAGACTAAGACAAAACAAGGCCTAGGATAACAGTTAAACTACACACTATTTCCAATATAGAACCACCAGAAAGAAGGTCAGTAAGTAAGTGAATGTTAACAACATTATAAAGAAACTAAACATAACATAAAAATACAGATACAAATAGAATACACACTTGTGTTAGTCAGATTTTATTACTATAGAATTAAATTTTTATTACTTATAGAATTAAAAGAATTGTTTTGTTTTGTAGGTTTCAATTGATGCTAAGGCAGACTTTTAATTCTTGGGCCTGTGTTGAAGCACCATGTCAGGGCTGGCAGGAAGCTGCCTACCTCATGATGCTGGGAAGCAAAGAGAATTAGGGAAAGTTTGTGGCTCCATAATTCCCTTCTGCTAGACTTCCTCTTAGGATCACAGACAGGGGACCAAGCATTTAACACATGGGCCATGTGAATCCTACAGATCCAGTCTAGAACAGGTTTCTTCCAAAATACACGTGAGATATTCTCCAGATTAGACCATGCCTCAATAAAATTTTAAAACTGAAATCCTACTATTTTCTTTGCCATGGCAGAATAATTTGTGTAATTTGTCCCTCTCCCATGGTGAAGGGGGGACTGCATCTGTTTTCTCTGTTCCTCCGTCGCTCATATTTAGAGTTGTGTCTGCCAGGTCCTACTAGATACTCATTCCGTGAATAGATGAGTGATCAATAGGAGGAGGGCGAGAGGACCAAAGAGCTGGTGTATGGGAGGGAGTCACATAGGGGTCACTTCCAACAGTGTAGTAAATGGCTTGGAAAAAGAACATGTAACCCAGTCTGGGGTCATCTGCTTTGGCCTTAACAGTTGGGAAAAGGAATGAACCAGGACATTGCTCTTCTGTACCCCTGTCTAGGTGACAGAAAGGTTCTGGGGTGTTCTAGACACAGGCACGGCTTTGGGACCTTTGCCTGAGAAGTGCCATTGGGTACACAGACCAATTTGGTGACTCAATATTGTTGAGTGTGCTTTGAACCCTGAACACATGACCATTCTTGGCTTATTGTCCTCTGGAAGGAGGTCACCACCTTGGCCCAGAACTTAGAAGTGCCAGGGTCACAGGGCTGCTTCCCTGAGGGTTATTTTTATTATTTTTTATGAGGATAGATTGCTTTTTACTCTGGAGATTGTGAAATCATGAAGGTCATAGAGTCTTCAACAAACCCCTGGCATCTTAGATTATGCTACAATCCCAAGAAGCTGATGGGTTCTGAGCAGGAATGCTCAGGATAAGCCCCTCTCCCTGGATAGCACTGTGTGGAGGCAAGACAGGGTCTTTCAGAACGGGCACCGTGCCTAGACAGCTTTCAGGATGTTCCTGAAGAGCTCAGCCATAGCCCCCTTTTCAGGTTGGTGGAGCAGTGATGGGGTATGCATGGCGTGCCTCAAGTCACCACGTAAGGCAGAACTGTTGTGTAACCAAAACACCGTCAAGTGTCTTAAACCATTCTCAGGGATCGAGTGAGGCAGTGTGAAGGAAAGCATGGGCTGTGCAGCAGATATCCTCTCCCTCTAAGGTCCTTAGAGATAGTCTTCTGAGGTCTAGTGATAATTATTAAACACGTCCTTATCTCACTGGTAAGTGTGATGTACTCTGTTGTATAAGTGACTTGTTTGAAATGCCTTTTAGAGGAGAAAATAGTCTCTTGGCCTGCTTTTTTTTTAATAAGTAAAAATGGCCACTTTTATCTCTTTATTCTGGTCAGATCTAATCGGGCGCTGATCAATGTTTGGATCCCATCCGTGTTTCTTCGAGGCAAAGCAGCCAATGCATTTCATGTGTATCAGGTAAGTACCTGGGTTTCATGCCAACCAGTTGTGTTTGTGCCATGGTGCTTTGCATGTTGGCACTATTTGTATATCTGCAGGATCTGCGCTGATGAAGTGGTGTGTGGCCATTGGTCAGGTGGAAGGATGTGCATGGAGTTTCCTGTTGTTGCCTTGTGTTGCTGCTGCTCTGTGACTGTGCCAGCTGGCTGTTTCCCGCAGCACCATACACCCACTCTTTTTATCTGGCTTCAGCCAGGACCTGGTTCATGTCTCATAGTCCATCTTGGATCTCAGGCCTGTGGCTGAATCTTGGGGTTAGGGGTAAGACTTTGATTTTCATGGTTGGCTCAATTCGGCCCTGTACCAGGGTTGGCAGTGCTCTTACTCAACCACGTGTCTGAGAGTGGGGAGACCCTAATAAAAATCAGACTATGCTTTTGTTGTTTTGAGACAGGATCTTGGTATATAGCCTAGGCTGGCCTTAAACTTGTAAGTGTGTGGATTACAGGTTTGCTACCATGCCCAGTCAGGTTACACACTGCAAAAGAAAGGGCCCTTTTTCTGCAAACAAGCCTCAGAAGTGCCCAAGCACTGTTTGCACGAGTGCTTCAGAGTCGAGCTCTGCAGGATCTGTGTGCTCCGGAGATAGTTTTGCAAGCAGATTTGTGGGGATTTAGATGTGTATGTTTTAGCTCCATGCGTAGCATATGCATTAGCCCTTGTCTGACAGTGCTTCTGGTTGGTATTTGGAAACATTTTAGGCAGCTTGATGCAGTGTTTTCCATGTCACTGATAATGGATAGAAATGACTTATTTAAATAATGGTACCACTAGGAATTATTTATAAGAGTTTTTAATGCATGTTATTTAGACTTGAGGTAATTTCTAGAGAAGCATATAGAAAAGAATGATAAAATCAAAGAGAAAAATAGACCAGGGTTGGATAACTCAAAGGGTTTAAAAGGAAAGAGCAGAGACTGTATTTATTATGAGGTCCAACCTAGTCCTTTCTGGTGATTTGAATTTCCTACAGGCTTCCTGGCGGCCATTGTGAAAAGGAAAGGCAGTTGGTTATTTTGAGTAATTAATTCCATTGCTAACAACAAGAAAAGCTGTTAATTCCTCCCAGAGAGCTAAAAAGAAATCTCCACATGGGGCTTCAGAGTGAGGAAGGCAGGGACCGATGATCCTCCACTGTACCCTGTGGCAACTTACTGTTTACTCTCTAAGGATCTCCTTTCCGGCAGCACAGCCACAACCACGGATGACCCCAAGCCTGTGAAGAGCCCTGTGTGGCTCTCCAGCAGAACTGTGCTGTGTCCCATCACAGCCACTTGCCACACATGGTCGTTAGATTGTGATTATTAAAACCAAATAAATTGAATACCTGTTTGTTGGCCACACAGACCATGTTTCAGGTGCTCACTAGCTGTGCCTATGATGGCCTTGGCCACACTGGTCATGTTTCAGGAGCTC